GGCATGTTAGCTCTGTTTGTTAAGAAGAAGAGGGATGTTGGCCGCGCAATTAATAGAGCTGCTGGGTTTAAATTATTGTTTTGTTTCGTACACCTTATTTGGATACGACGACGGATTAGGAAAGAACATAACATGCGTACAACACCAAATAAGTTCTAATTTAATAAACTAAATAAATAAAATTGTTGAGTTAACAACTGGTACGCCATTAATAACTTTCTATCATCTAACAATAATTTTGATACATAACACAAATCTCAAGATAATTTTTTTGAAAAAACAACATTCAAACTTCGATTAAAAATCATCTCATATAACAATTTTAGAAAACTTATAGTCAAACTGACCGACTTGACTAGATGGGCACAATAATACCAAAGTTAGTCCAATCAAATCAAGCCCAGATGAAGCCATTAAATCACATTTGAAAGCTTTCAATGCATAATTAAAAGTTCAGACGAATTTCAATTTTGACATGCTTATAGTCAAATTAAGCATCTCAATAAGACAAATCCAATAAGTCTCGACAAGGCAAATCAAATGAGCCCAATGACACTCAATTCTAACACCATTAAGGCACATAAATGTTATTAGAATACCATTCGATCGAGAGAACCTCCCCAGGGCATCCTAACAGGTGGTAATGGATTCCTTCCTTATTTGCAACACGAGCTCTATAAATAGTCATACCCCCTCTTGAAAAAGGACCTAAACCCTCAGTCAAAGGAATACCAAAATTTGGAGGAGATGAAGCTCAATATTTTTGCGCAGAATATCCAACAAACTCTTCCCGCACCTGCAGCCCCCAACCACCGTCGATCGTTGCTCGCCGACCACCATCAACTGACCACCATCAACCCCATCCACTCATTGCAGAGTTACAACATGTGCTACAAAATCCCAGAGTGCGTTGCAGAACAACAAAGCACCCATCAGAGTAGTGCATCACCTACTACGTCATGCAACGACACACCCATTAGAGTAGTGCATCACCTACTACGTCATGCAACGGCGCACCCATCGAAGTAGTGCATCACCTAGTACGCCATGCAATGACACACCCATTGAAGTAGTGCATCATCTAGCAAGTCATGCAACGACTCACCTCGAAAACAATATACTGGTTGAAATAATTGTTCCCAAATACATTATAAAAAAAACCTTAACGTTTAAAAATAAAACGATAATATATATCATCAATAATCTACTTGATAAATTTTAATGCATTTTGAATGAGCTTTAAATGTTAAATTCATGATCACCCGAGCATTGAATTAAATAAATTTATAGTTAAACTAAAAATCTTAATAAAACAAAGACAATGACAATAAAAGTGAGTTGATTTGAGTTTAAATGAGCTCCAATCAAGCATTGAAATATAATTAGAAGACTTAAAACATTAATTGGAAGGTCAAATTTTCTCTGATTTTGACATCCTTATAATGAAATTTAGTAGCTCAACAAGTAGAATCTAACAAGCTTATGATTAAGAAGTTCAGCAAGTAGAAGCGAACAAGCTTATGATTATTTGTTTATGAGTTTATGAGCACAATTGAATGTTGGAAAAATATTCTATGTTTAAGACATCAAACATGAACTATACGATGGAGCGTTGTGGGAGCATGACCAAATTTATCAAAATGTCACTACTAAAAAATTATATTTAAACCCTCATTCCCAACCTAAAGAAAAAAACATACCACCACCAATGATGGCTATAACCCACCTATTATCATATGATTGTTACTACTTCACTATTATTTTCATATTATTATTGTATGATTATTATCTTTATGTTGTTATTGACTAATCACTATAATGTCATAAATTTTATCATTCGTTAACTCTTATTATAATGAAAGAGGAATAAATAAACAAAAAGATGTGATATTCTTCTTATTATTTCATGTGTTCAATGAATATTTTTTTACTGAAGTATGGTTTCATTTTTTTTTTTTCTATCAATGAGAATTAAGTAGCCCATAGCAAAAAGGAAGAAAAGAGATCGAACATATGTTAGGTAAATTTAATAAAAAAAATATGAAGATATTACAGGCATTTAAATTCAAATCTCATATTTATTAAATTCATGGCTGATACTCATCATAAGAAAAGGAGGTTCACTAATGTAACATCCCTTCAAACTCCTAATTGCACGCCATCAGCACTGTGCAGCTATGCAAAGTCAAAATTAAATTAGTTGCCAAGCTCTAAATAAAATATTTTGATTTCAAGGTCTCAAATTTGTGTCAAATAAATACTAATTTAAGATTAATTGATCCAAATAGGAACATAAAAGCTCTTAAAAATTACGTTTTTAAGCCACATGATTTAGTTCGTCTCGTTGAGTTCGTTGACAAAGATCACTGAACTAGGTTTAGAAGTATAGCTCAAATGAAGAATCAACCGACTCATGTTCTTAAATTGTTGTTCATGTCATGTGCGCACAAAGAGGAAATTGTAGAAATCTACCAAGTAATAATTTAATTAAATAAATAGCATTATTCAAAAAAAAAAAAAAAGAAACCGATATTAACATCTATTGTAATGATGATAGTGTCTGTTTTCTTAATAATGATGGCTATTAAGAAAATTTACCCTGCCACCAAAGAGTGATATACTGATATGTGAGTACCACATAAGAAAGCCATCTAAGCACACTACTGACAATATGCTTTTCATACACAACCAAGGGATCCAATAGCCATATCTCATGTCCATGTTTGATGGACCTAAACTACAATGTTGCCTGCTCACGCCGACACACACTTATTATTACAAAAATCGTTCGAAAAGTTTTCGACTTCTCAAAAGACGTGAATGAAAAATTATGTTGAAAGGGAACATATGAATGGAAAAATGAAGATTAACTTAGCCTTCACCTCACAAATAAGAAGAATAAACCAATGTCCAGCTCAACAACCTCAGAACCTCCTATACATCCATTAAGGGATGAAAGAGAAAAGATTAGCCTAAACGAAAAAAGTTGAAAGGGAACATTCCTTAAGGCAGGATTATGTTTATTTTTTCCTTGACATGCACCTTCTCCTAATTTTGAATCCTAATAAATTCCAAAAATAAATTTAGCCCACCCTTCCCATACACAGACAAAAGAGCAAATATAGCCTTCCCTTCCCATACACAGACAAAAGAGCAAATAAAAAGTATCGCAGTTTAGTTGAATTGAAGTATCAAGAAAGTAATAAAAATATAATTGAAGTCTACCATATGCAATCATTTGGGGTATATTAGGATAGCTTTCTATGTGCGTTGACTGCCACAATAGTTTGGTCTGAGGACTTGTTTTTTTGTTATTTCTAAAATATTTTGTGGTGGAAAACTATTTTTTACAAATAGATATATTAATGTGGTGAAAACTGTTTGATTTTTTTGAAAAAAATAAATATTTATAATTCTCATAATAACTTTCTGAGAAATTATTTTCTCCATCACAACTTTATAACCTCTTTTATAAAAAATTGAAACCGCTCCAAATGGACCCTTAATAACACAAGAAGAGTTAGAAATTGGAGATTCCACGTGTAACAACAACAGCAACAACAACAACAACATTAATAATAATAATAATAATAATAATATATCGATTAGGCATACACATCCCTCCATCTTTTCAGTTTAGACATAAGAGTTGTTTATACCATTTCAAACAAATAAATTAGAGTTGTGAGAAGAGAAACCACAGTGGTAAAATAGAAGAAGAAATCAAAGGGGAAAAAAAGGAAAGTTCTCAGCTTGCCTGTGAGAGAAGAAGATAAGGAGGAAGTAGAAGGAGCAGAAAGGTTCGAGCCATTTTCTTCGTCGTGTGGTACTTACCGCACAAGATTGAAGTTGTGCTTCTTACTCGAGCAACTGCGAGGAGAAAGAGAGGATCAGCTACGTGCATAGCTATTGTGCTCGTGTGAGGAGTAAAACAAGGTTGACGACGAGGAAGAAGATGCGGGCGAGTGTCTCTGGATTGAATCGAGGTCGAAGGAAAAAAGAGGAATAAGTTTTGCGTGCTCTGAAGAAGAAGAAGAGAAGTGGAGATGCACATTGTTAGAGCTTTCAAGCCACACGAAGAAGAGAAGTCAAAGAAGAAGCGTTTTGCTTGCGTAGCAGAAGAAGGGAAACCTGTTGTTGAGTTTGCGAGCGTTAGGGTGGACCGAAAGTTTATAAGGTATAATTGAGATTTTTAATAAATTTATTTATTTATATTTTTATGAGTTATATTGTGTGTGTGTAAATTTAATTAATTAATGTGTTAATATAAAGTCACTTAAATCAAACTTGTAAGTGGAAGATTTTGATGCCAAGGAGAAGGGCGTTGACTCGTGCGTGAAATTGGGCTTTAGGTACTTACGGTGAGAAGCACATCTTCTGGGTATTTAATGCTTAATAATTTAAATTTGCTTCAATTGAAATTATTGGTTTACTTAGTAAATGCTAATAACATTTTTAATTTAATAAGACATTAAAGGTAGAAGATTAGAGGCTGAATCAATTAAATTTGTAAAAGAAAGAGGGAAATCCTATGCAAGGAAGCAAATCAAACTTTTAAGGTAAGAAATTGTATAATTGCTTATGTGTCACTTTAATTGTAGCACATTAGACATAATAAGTAATTCTTTTAAGAAAAAGATTCTTATCAAATGATTTGCACTTAATATAGATGATTTTCCAAAGAAATTAATGAAGAAGTATTTTAGAAATCTCTTGTAAACTAAGGAGAGTAATTATTTTTTAAGTATATTAAATTTAAGGTTTATTAAATAAAATTTTCTTTAATGCTCTAGACAATTATTTTATGCATGTTGTAGATTAAGAATTCAAGAAAATGAATGAGAAAAAGAAAAATAAATGTTTAATTTATTTAAAAAGAGGTAATTTAAAAGAAATGAAATAATAAGTAATTGTTTAAGTCAATACAGGATTACACCCATATGGTACTAGCGAGGAATATAATGTATCCGTGCATGTTAAAGGAAATGATAAAAGTGTACCTTCATGTACAATTTTGAGAGCGTCTTCGGACATTTTTGAGGGTGACTTCGAGCACATTGTTTAGGGAAACTTCTAGTATGACGGTAAATCCTGTGATGATTATTAAAGATGTGAAATTGATAAATACTTAAAATGAAATGAAAATGAATAAATTTAAAGTTTTAATGAAATAAACTGCATTTTCTTTTGGTTATTCATGCATAACATAACATAAGAATTTAATGCATATTAGATTAAAATTACTAGCTAAGTTAACTTATAGTTGAAGTTAATAATTTCTTTTCGGAGAATGAAAGATTTATGATGATATGTCTAATAGAAGAGACTTTGTTTACCAGAAGAAGACCACTGCTGCTAAGTATATTTGTTGTGATTATAAGTTCTTTTTTACTGTTTTTTTCAGATCTTGATTTAGTATTTAGTACTGGATTAAAATGTTAGCTATGGTGGTTTTTATTACTGGATTGTTTAAATTCTATTACACTTTGTGGATTAGTGACTCTTTTATATGTATTGGAAATTTTCAAAATGTAGATAGCTAGATGTTAATGCTATCCGACTGCAGTTCCCACCTTAATTAATTCTAAGCACCAGGCCAGGTCGTGACAAAGGTGGCATCAGAGCAAGTAAATTTGAAGATGACAAAAAAGAGCCATTAAGATGATTACTTCAAGTAATATTGAAAGAGAATTAAATTATATCTAATTATAATTTTTCATAGGCTATTTCAGAAATATGGAAAATCAAGGGGACAAAGCTAAAGATGATATTGTACAAGTTAATGCACCATCATAAATTTCAGTGAATACTAATGCATTTACTAAGATGATGGCTGCACTAATGTAGTTGATTAAGTACTCTTACAATCAACCCAGTTTCAGTGGACGAGGTCAAATGAGTAAGTACATGAAATTATTTCAAGATATGAGACCACCTCTCTTTTTTGTAGGAAGAGATCTGGTAGATACTGAAAAATGACTGCTGAATGTGAACTAGATCCAAGATGGATTGTCTTGTCCTCCAGAGATGATGGTTACACTAGCTACTTTTGCATTAAAGGGCGAAGCAAAAAGATGGTGGTGTTGACTATTGCAGGAGAAATTTGGTGGTTAAGTCAGTCACATGATTAAGTGGGGCGAGTTCATGAGCACCTTTAGAGGCTGGTTTGTACCACTGTTCGTCTGGAGAAATAAATGATAAGTTTATCAGGTTGATATAGGGCGATTGCTCGATTATGCAGTATGAAACTGAACTCACGATGTTCTCAAGGTAAGCACCTCAGTTGATCCTTGATGCAGAGAGATGCCAACGTCTTTTTTATGGGTTGAGGGATGTGATTAGACAACCATTGATTCCTCTTGGAATTGATGATTACTCTATTATGGTGGAGAGAGCCAGGAGGATTAAGCTGGATCTCGAGGCTACTCAGAGGAAGATGGATATTCAGAAGAGAAGAAATTCATATGGATCCAGGTTTCCTCAGAGCTCTCCGAAGCATTCCTTCCAGTCAGTCAATACAAGTGCTAAGAAGGCTAGATCCAACAGCGTTGGCACTCAATTTGAAGTGAGGAAGTGTGACAAATATGGAATGTCTCATAAGGGTGAGTGTTTATGTAGAACAAATACTTGCTTTAGGTGCCACCAATCAGGACATATGACAAAAACTTGCCCTAAATTGGGTAAGAGGGCTCCAACAGATTCGAGAGGCAGTGTTGCACCACCTCAGAGGAGTTATGATAGACCGCGAACAACTGAATCTTTAGGATCATTGCCAAATACATGTTAAACTCAGCAGAATGTTCAACCCATAGTATATGCATTATCGTAGCAAGATGCTAAGGATTCCCCTAACATCATCACAAATATGTTTTACTCTTAATAATTTTAAACCAGTGCACTTTAAGCATTATAAGATTCATGTCATGTCATACATAAAATAAGGTTTACATATATTAATAAGCTAACTCCAAATTTTAATGCAATGATTTTAATGATATATATCATATTCTTCAGACTAGACTGATAAGAGTATTATTTGATTCATGAGCATCACACTTATTTATAGCTAATGAACTGGCTAAATTGATGCAATTAAATATCCTTTCGATGCTTGTGAAACTATCATTTAGAATGTCAAATGGTGCTTTTCCAAAAGTTAATAAATAATGTGAGGTGGAGCTTATGATTGGTGAAAGATTTTTCATGCCCAACTTATTATATTGCCCTTGGTAGAAGTCAATGTGATTTTAGTTAAGAAATAAATGTCTGAAAATTTTGTCACTATTGATTGTAATAAAAAGATCGTCAAAATAAATGTACCTGAGGAGACAAAAGTTAAATTTTTTGGTGACAGAGGAATGACATCTATGATAATTACCTGTATGAAAGTTTGCAATTTGTTGAATTGTGAAAGTTGAGGTTTTTTTTTGCTCAGGTAGCAGATACTTCTAAGGAAGTGAAGTCATTGGGTAATATTTTGGTGGTAAGAGAATATCAAGAGGTCTTCCTTGATGGTTTACCAATCTACTACCAGCACGAGATTGATTTAAGTATTGAACTTTTGTTAGGTTCTCAGACTGTATGGAAGGCAACCATACATAATGGTAGTTAAGGAGTCGTAGGAGTTGAAAAGCCAACTGCAGGAGTTACTTGATAAAAGGTTTATCAGAACGAGCACCTCACCTTGGGGAGCTCTAGCATTGTTTGTGAAGGATGGGAGCTTCAAGATGTGTATTGATTACAAGAAGTTGAACACAATTAAAAATAATTATCCATTGCCGAGGATTGATGACTTATTTAATCAGTTGAAAGGGGTTTCTGTATATTTGAAGAGTGATTTGAGATCAGGCTATTGCCCGTTGATAATCAAAGAAGAAAGCATAGCGAAGACAACTTTCAAGGCCAGATACGGGCACTATGAATTTGTTTGGACTGACAAATGCTTCAACAGTTTTCATAGATATGATGAACAAAGTCTTCAAATAATTTTTGATACTTTTTTTATCATCTTTATATATAATATTCTAGTATAATTGAGAGATGAAGTCAGTCATGTAGATCATTTATTTGCTGTGCTACAAGTCTTGAAGGAGAATACACTTTATGCCAAATTTTCTAAATATGATTTTTGACTTAAAATGAGGCTTTTCTTATGTATATTATTAGTAGAGATGACATATCTGAGAATCAGAACAAGGTGAAGGCGATCCAATATTGGCCAAGACCTACTACTGTTATTGAGGGCAAAATTTTTCTAGGTATGACTGATTATTACATAAGGTTTGTTGAGGGATTTTCACAAATTGTTATGCTACTATTAAGGTTGACACAAAAGGCGGTAAAGTTTGACTATTTATATCGTTGTAAGGAGGCTATTTGGAAGTTGAAATCTTGTTTAATGTTTGCTCTAGTTTTGGCCATTCATTCAGGTTCAGATGAGTTTCAAAATTTTTTGTGATGCATCTTTGAGAGGTTTGGGATGTGTGCTTATGCAGCATGGTAGGGTCATTAGACATCACGTCAATTAAATAATCAAGAAAAAAACTATCCTATGCATGAATTAAAGCTTGTTGTAATTGTATTTGCACTCAGGATATGGATGCATTATTTATATAGAATTAGATGTGAATTTTTTATTGACCACCCGAGCTTGAAATATATCTTCACTCAGAAAGAGTTGAACCTGAGACAGAAGAAATGATCAAAATATATTAAAGATTATGATTTAGATATTCGGTATCATCCGGAGAAGACAAATGTTGTGACAGATGCACTAAGTAGAAAAACTTCTAGTAATTTAAATTATTTATTTACTTAGCAGGATCAATTAATTAAATATCTGGAGAAGTTGATGCTCACTATAGTTGATTCTGGTGATTACAACATAGTTCAATTATATCAGCTGACGGTGCAACAAGCTCTAAAGGGCAAAATTGAAGATTCTTTAGTCAGAGAAAATAGATTCAAAATGTTTTGGAGTAGGTTCAAGCAATCAATTTGGAGAGATATGTGATAAAACAGGATGGTTAATATGAGGTATAAAGACAAGATTTATTTTCCAAATGTTGATGACCTGAGAAAGGAAATTCTAGAGGAAATACAATTATCTAATTACACTATCAACCCAAGGAGCAATAAAATGTATCAGAATATCAAAGAAACATATTAGTGGCCATAACTGAAGATAAGCATGACATAATTTGTGGTCAAATATCCTTCATATCAGCTAGTGAAAACAGAGCATTAGCGTCCTGGAGGTCAATTGCAGCCTTTACTGACTCCAGAGTAGAAATGAGATGAGATTGCAATTGATTTTGTGATTGGTTGCCTAGATCATGTCAAAGTTGGGATGCTATATGGGTAATTGTCGACAAACTGACCAAATATGAACATTTCTTGCCTATTAGACAGACAAATTGAATTGAGAAGCTAGCCAAATTATATGTGAATCAAATTGTAAAGTTGAACGGAGTGCTGAAGTCCATTATCTTTGACAGAGATGACAGGTTTACTTCCTGATTGTGGAAAAAGGTTCGAGAAGCTGGGCACACGACTGACTTTCAGTACAACATTTCACCCTTGACAAATATTCAGTCAAAGAGGACTATTTAGACATTGGAGGATCTATTGAGCGTATGCACTCTTGACTTTAGTAGAGGTTGGGAATCATATATACCTTTAGTAGACTTTGCTTACAATAATAGCTCTCACACTAGCATTGGGATGACTCCATATAAAATCTTGCATGGAAGGAAGTGCAAAACATCTCTATATTAGGTTGAAACATATGAAAGAAAGATCTTTAGTGTTGATTTGGTTGATGATGATACTGCGAAGATTAGACTGATTAGAGACAGACAAAGGGCAACGTGTGATAGAAAATACTATGATGCCAAGTACAGACCTGTTGAGTTTGAAGTTGGAGAGTTTGCTTTCATCAAGGTCAATTCATTAAAGGGTTCGCAACATTTTGGGAATGCAAGAAAATTGAGCCCTAGGTTTGTCGGTCCATTTGAGATTGTGGAGATGAATGAGAATGTAGCTTATCGATTGACTTATACCATCTCATATGCAGGGAGTGCATAGTGTTTTCCACACTTCTTCACTAAGGAGTACATTACAGATGAAGCCAGTAGAGTGATAGCAGACTCAATTGACATTCAACCTGATTTGACTTATGTTGAAAAGCCTGAAAGGATTTTGGATTATTATGTGAAGAAGCTGTGAAATAAAAAGAACCATTTTGTGAAGATTTTATGAAGGCACGGGTCGGAGAAAGATGCTACATTGGAGGTCTCTGAGATGCAAGAAAGATATTCTTAGCTTTTCTCTCGAGATATGTTTACTTTCATGTTTATTTTCAAATTTTGAGAATGAAATTTTGCAAGGAATGAAGATTGTAACAAATAATAATAATAATAATATAATTAAGAATAAATCAATTAGGCATATGCGTCCCTTCAGCCTTCTCCGATTTAAGAGTCGTGCATCCCATTTTGAACAATGAAATTAGAGGTGTAAGAAGGGAAACCATAATGGTAAAGGAAAAGAAGAAATTGAGGTAAAATGGAAGACAATTCTCGGCTTTCTTGTGAGAGAAGAAGATAGGGAGGAAGCCGAAGGAGGAAGGTTTGTGTGGTTTTCTTCGTCATGCGATACTTACCGCACAAGATTAAAGTTGTGCTTCTTACTTGAGCAATGAAGAAGAGGAAGAAAGAGGATTGGCTTTGTGCATTGCTATCGTGCTCGCGTGAGGTGTAAGACAAGGTCGATGATGAGGAAGAAGATGTCGACGAGCGACTCTGGATTGAATCGAGGCCGAAGGAAAGAGGAGGAAAAAGATTTATGCACTGTATTGGGATGAACTGCGACGGAAGAAGAGAAGTGGAGATTTCGCAGTACCGTGTGCACTGTGTGAGCTTTCAAGCCATGGGAAGAAGAAGGAGAAGTCCTGCAGCTGAGCTCGTGTGCGTTAGGACAGACTGAAAGTTTATAAGGTAAAAATGAGATTTTTAATAAATTCATTTATTTATATTTTTATGTGTTATATTGTGTGTGTGTAAATTTAATTAACTAATATGTTAATATAAAGTCACTTGAATCAGACTTTTGTTAGTGGAAGATTTTGATGCCAAGGAGAAGGGTGTTGGCTCGTGCGTGAAATCGGGTTTTAGGTGAGTGCAATAAGAAGCAAATCTTCTGGGTATTTAATGTTTAATGATGTAAATTTGTTTCAATTGAAATAATTGACTTATTTACTAAATGCTAATAACATGTTTAATTTAATCAGACATTAAAGGTAAAAGATTAAAGACCGAATCAATTAAAATTATAAAAGAAAAAGGGAAATTCTATGCGAGGAAGTAAACCAAACTTTTAAGGTAAGAAATTGTATAATTGCTTGTGTGTCACTTTAATTGTAAGACATTAGATATATATTAAGTATTTTTTTAAGAATAAGATTCTTATCAAATGATTTGCACTTAATATAGGTGGTTTGTCCAAAGAAGTTAGTAGAGAAATATTTCAAAAATCTCTTGTAAACCAAGGTTAGTAATTATTTTTTTATATGTATTAAATTTAAAGTTATTAAATAAAAAAGTATTTAATACTTTAGATAATTATTTTATGCATGCTGTAGCTTAAGAATTAAAAGAAATGAATGAGAAAATGAATATTTAATGTCTTTAAAAAATAATTAAAAGGAAATAAATTATAAATAAATGTTAAGTCATACATAATTACCTCCAGATGGTACTGGCATAAGATGCATGGGCATAAAATGCAATATACCCATGCATGTTAAAGGAAATGACAAAAGTGTACATTCGAGTATAATTTTGAATGTCTTTAGACATATTTTTGAGTGTATATTCGAGCATAATTTTTAGAATACCTTAAGGTATGACGATAATCTTATGGTGGCTATTAAAGAGGTTAAATTGGTAAATACTTAAAGTAAAATGAGAATATATAAATATAAAATTTTAATGAAATAAACTATATTTTATTTTACTCATTCATGCATAGCACAATATAATAATTTAATGCATATTAGATTATAATTACTAAGTTATACTAATAGTTAAATTTAATGTTTTTTTTTTCAGGAGAAATAAATACTTCTAATGATATATCTAATAGGAGAGACTTTATTTACAAGAGGAGGACCATTATTGTTAGATATATTTGTTATAATGATAGTTTTTTTTTACTGTTTTTCTCAGATGTTGATATACTGTTCAATACTCATTGAAATGTTGTATGTGATATACAGTTCAATACTCGATTGAAATATTGTATGTGATGTTTGTTGTTACTTGGTGATTTACATTTTATTGTACATTTTGGATTAGTCGCTCTTTTATATATATCAGAAGTTTTCAAAATGTGGATAGTTTGATGTTAATACCGTCCGATCGAAGTTCCCGCCTTAGTTAATTCTATACACTGCGTCAGGTCATGACACCATGCTTCCAAAATCAATACCATTTGGATAATGCCATTTGTCACAAATTGTAAGATCAAATTGACCAAAATAGTGTTTCGCCTAAAATCTTAAAAACCTGCGCAAATAAACTCAATAAAAAAATATAGAGAGGTAGATTTGTTTGTTACTCTTCACAATGCAAATTTCAGGAAAGGAAGAATTTATGCATGTTGCAAATAGCATCCAGTCTTTCTAAACATTACTAGCAGCATTTAGTTGACTGCACGTATTAGGCTAACCTCGTAAACTTGCAATTTTATAGACAAATTTTTCATGTAGACTATAGCTAAAGAAATAATTGCCTGATCAGGATATTTACTGCTGTGGAAGGGAGAGGGGCCGAGTATTTCTCCAGAGCCATTCTTGAGCAGCTCCTTGCACTAGAGGTGAAACCTGTTGTGTAGCGAATAATATCGTTAATGAATTCAATAGCAGCTCCTGTATTTACTAAGTAAGCCATGATAACAATGACATATGGTTATCAGTTGAATTAATCTGATCGAAACAAAAAAAAATGAATCTGTTTTTCATCCGTGATGTTATGTGAGGTGAGGCATAAGCCTTAAAGATGTTTTAAGACGTAAGCCACAAATACAAAGATTCCGTGAAGGAACAAGTATTGTATAAACTTCAAAGTGGGATGCTAAAATAAAAACATATTATCATTCTAATCTATTAAAACATCAAAAGGTGATATACCAATAATCTACTAAAATAAAAAAGAAATAGATCGCGGAAAGAATAAAATAAAAGGCTAGCATCCTAACACAAAATCATGAAATAAGACGAATTGTACAAACATTAAACTATCAAAATAAATTAAGAAATATGTTCAACACAAATATATTTTCTCACTCATACTTTCCCCCTCCCACTTACCTAAGAAGATAGTAAGTCATTAATATTATAAATTTTAAATTCAAAAGTATCTATTACTCTCATCACCAAAAAGGTTTCAGTAGAATCGCCAACATAATGAATTGTTTTCTCTTTCGTTTCACTCTTAGTCATAACATTCTTCTCCAACCTCTCCTCATTTCAAATCACAATCATCTCTCTCTTTCTATCAACAATAGTCAAGAAAAATATTAATTAAATTTCAAAGCAATGACTATATTTATAGTTAGAACTTCAATTCCATATTTTTTTATGAATATATTCTTTGTTTATTTTTTGCTATTTATAATGTGAGACACGAGCGCGACGGTTAATATGTGAAAAATATTGATGTTTTTTTTTTGTTTAAAAATTATGGATAGTTTCAAAAAATTGAGATTAGGATAATGTGATGTACATTTCCTTACAATTGTGGGATAATTACATACAGAGCTACCGAATCATGATCAAACCATTAAGAATTTGATAAAAATAAAAAATGTGCATTGGGGTTTTATCATGAATTTTGATATTTAGGTGAGAATTTGAAAAATAGATGAAAGGGGGCTTGATTTGTAAATAGCAATGTTTCGGGTGCTTTGTATGTGATGTCTTGTTTCGAAAACCCGAGGAAACCGAAGAGGTGGAGAAGAAGCAGAAGTCGGGAAACCGACAAAGGGGGAGAGGAAGCAAGGAGTCAAAAATGCGAAAGGTAATATCGCTTTATAAATTGTCGCAATCGACTTACGCAAAGGAAAAAACTGTGATGTCGTAGTTGACTGAAGGAAGACGAGAGGAAAAAGCTCGATGATTGTCATGTGTGTCTAGGGTAGAGAGGATGACGATGCCAGAGGCTTTTGGAGCGAAGGTAGAGCGGCTTTTAGACCCAAGGAAGAGTGGAGCCGTAAGCCAAAGGAGGAGTAGGAGAAGTAGGTTAAGGTGTGACTGAAGTTGCGGAGAAAGAAGGGATTGTGTGGAAGCTTTCCTGCGTGAAGGAGTCTTATCGTGCACAGAGGAGGGGTTCTCTTGCGTGAGAGGGGCTTTAGACCGATATTAATATGTTTGTTTTAAAAAATTAATAGTTTTGTTTTAAAATTTAAGTTATTTAATATATATATATATATATTCTTTTTTGAAAAGCCCAAGGGCTGATTTTATTTAAATAGAAAAGATACATAAAATTTGTATGAGTGGGCCCAAAAGAGACACCCTACCCATACGTACTTCCCCAACAAAAAGAGACAGATAAACTCAAAAAATTTAAAACATGCAGAAAACAAGTAGCTAGATACGCGCCAGTTTAGTCCTGCCTCTTCCTCTAGTTTTAGGAGCGGAACCAGATAACAAACTTTGAAGTGTCGTGCCACTACCAGGAGTAACCAAAGTATCATCCATTAAGTTTCCAAATTTGAGTGTGCCCCCAGCCTTTATCTTCCGCCGAGAAGTGTAAACCTGTCATTCTTCATCTGAGAACTGACTCATGTGATCCTCGGTCTGATTATATATTAGAACCGCAGTAGAAGGAACGACTGTCATTTCCACAGCGATAGGTTCCAGTGTATGTGAAGTGTGAATTGTCACATCTGCACCTGATGCTTCATGAATATGAGCTGTGGGGGCTAGCCTGACTTTCGGTCCGAACATTATCCCTTATGGTATGGTTAGGAGAAGGGTTCCCAGGGGCATACACTATTTTCTGTCTTGTGGAGATACCCTCATCAGGTTGGCTGTCATCAGGTTTGCTGGGAGCACGTTCAGGCACGTGGGGTGTACTAACAACATGTTCCTGCTTTTGACTATTAATTTTCAACTGTGGGTGCACTCTGAAACATTTCTCTTGCGAGTGTCAAAATATCTTGCAGTGCTTACAATAGTAAGGTTTTTGTTCCATAATGATTTTTTGCCAATAACCATTGTGCGTAGAGCCAAGCCAGACTTCTTCTACATCTGGTAGTGTAATGTCCCTTTCAATCAAAATCCTTGGAACAGAGGGCCTTGAGAAATGAACTGTAGGTGTGTCTACCTGCAAAGTTTTTCCAAGGATAGTCCCAATTGCATATAAAATGAGTAGATCAAAGAATTAAAGCTTAAGTTTAGGTAATGAGAACCAGATAGGCGCAACTGGGGTTTCTTGACTGAGATCAAAATCAAGAGTCAATTTGAGCAATTTCATATGATTGCCCTCGATTGTGTGTGTATGTATGTGTGTGTGTGTGTGTGTGTGTGTGTGTGTATTATATATATATATATATATTGATAAAAGAGCAGCTCGTGGCTCTCTACGCGTTAATAAAAAAAGAAGTTACAAATTAGAGAGAAAAGGGATCCCCAACTAAAAAGCAAAAAATACAAAGAGGTCCTTGTTGACCTCAATTTTCGTGAGGTCTAGTATTTCTCGTAGGAATTAGGATCTAGTCTTAGGGGTCTTCCTGCGACTATCTTAGCACCTTAGAAGTGGTGCCCGCCTCGTTTTAGTTCGACCTATTTCCGTCCTCTTTTAGAGTTTCGCGTGTGCGGTATCAACTTCTAACACTTAGAAGAATCAAACCGACATGAGGAAACTCAAAATGGATTCCTATAGGACCTTTCCGAGCCTTAGGGTGGCCTTCTGCACAATTCGCACTCCTGCGCGCA